CTTCTAATGTTCTTCGCTTTGTTGGTTGACTTCTTCCATTACTTCTGTCAGCATCGAGTAACTATGCGTTATATTGCGTGGATTGCTATGCTTCAGTTTATATATATGGGGGTGTGTGTTTGGGGGAGAGTTTAGAGTGTACCATAACCTCTTCTAGGAAGTCACAAGCTGCAGCAAGAGATGAAAAATGGAGATGCTAACGGTCCAGGCCTGTGATTTGTCTCAACTAAAAAATCCCAGCATTTTACTGATTTCAAGGAAATCACAGTCCTTGACTGCGAGTATCTTTACTGAACAAATCTCTTGGCAAAACTTTGAGTATGTCTCTTGGAGTAGTAATGTGAATGTGATACGATAGTAATGAATGTATGGAATTGTGGGTATAAAAAAAGAAGTGATTCATCATCATATGGGCCAAGTACAATAGAAACGAAGTTAAGAATTTAGACGTGCTTTTTTAGATCTCTTTAATTCATTTAATCATACATATCTTTATTTTATCGACTTCCAGCCTTTAGAGAAATCTATTTATCATATAACTAATAAAGAATATTATTCTCAAAGTCTGATCACTAATTAATAAAAGGGAATGTGATCCTTAACGCTAACACAAATAAAGAAGAGATTTGACGTTACTAACCATTCTTCGATTGTATATTCATTGATTGCCAAAACGAGACATAAATTTTTATGTTATACGCGTTTTCTTCTTAAAGTGCTAATAATGTCGTTAATAAAATTCAAAGTATCCAATTCAAGCAACAGAAGAGGTAATTACAATTCCTCCATGGATGTGAAGTTAAATTCACACCTCTTATTAAAGGAGGAAGACCGAGCGAAACTTGCTAGCTTGTTAGGTAATAACGCGCCCGGGATAATTAAAATACAATGGGATTTATCTAATGAGGATGACATTAAGCGACGCGACCAATTTCTTCATGATAATGATCTTGATATCGATTCCGATGATACAAGATGCAAGTGGTCCATCCGGCAAAAAAATCAAACAATGATTGTTAAACAGTGCTTGTGTGGAAGTTACTGAAAAAAAGACATTAAACCCAATTCTCGCGTTTCAACTGCATGTTATTCCTACGTTGTATGTCTTGCCTTTGTTACAATTTTCCTTCGCAAAAATGAAATTTGTGCCATTATGGGATATTTGGAACATTCAGAGCAATGCAAAGCTTCCCAACCACAATGCGACCCACCATATCGACTCTTGCCATTTGTAAGAAAAAGCGTTGAAAATTTGCTAAATTTAAACGTGAGCACTACAGATATTCTTGCACAAAATGCACGAATCATAAAAAATATATTCAGAAAAAGTACTTTAATTGGAAATCAAAGAACGCTACTTACAGCAATGAACATCACTAATATTAAGAAGCAAATGCTTCAAAAAAACTGGGATCTCAACATTCGTAATGATGCTGCAACGAATTTAGAAAAATTTCTTGGATCAGCGGCAGATAAATCAGAACTTAAGGACGCGTGTTTGCATTACCAGCCCCACACCAAAGACACCGATCGCCTGGAGCTCATCATTTGCACTTTGGAACAACAGGAATACGCGTGAAGATATGGACATCAGAGCCTTATTCTCGTCGATGGAACCTTTGGAATCAGTAAACATAAACTCCTTTTATTTATCATTATGGTCATTGATGAGAACAACAAAGGCATTACAATTGCATTCATTCTTTTCACGCCATCGATTAACATCATCCGGGTATGATAGTAAGATCCTGGAATGACTTTTTACAATCTTTCGTGACAAAATTAGTATTATTTATAACCGAAATCAACTTGCGACAAATCAGAACATCAATTTGGTTACGTTTACTCCTCTCGTTGCAATGACTGACACTGATGTTAAGGAACGGAGACCATTATCAAAAGTGTGGCCAGGAATTATTCTACTTCTTTGTTACTTCCATATTAGCCAATGTTGGAAAAATGAAATCAACAAGCAATTAGGTCGGGACGGTGATAATAATATAATTTTGCAATGACATACTTTGAGGATATACTTACGAAGTATATTAAAAGAAGCCTGGTCAATGGATGACGAAGAAGCGGTAGTACGCCAGTTTATAGTAGAAAAGAGGGAATCATTAAAAGATCTTATTAGCAAGATTAACACTTCAGAAAGCGTACACAATGTTTTGAATGGTGGCGTAAAGTTTCTCACTTATCTGGAAAAGCAGTGGACCAGCAATCTTCTACATAGTTGGTGTCTTAATGGACGGAAGAGAGCTGCAAATGCTCTTGGCATTCCTCTCGAAAAACTTCCTATCACAAACAACCACCTCGAAAGAATCAATGAGTATTTGAAGAATAATCAGTTAAAACGATTTCAAAGAAAGGGCCGTCTTCTCAGAGCTGATGTCCTTTATGTTGCCCTTGTATCTGAAATTATACCCAACATTTTTGCGCTGCGGGAGCTCGCCATTGATTTCGAAAAAGAAAAAGCGGAACAACGTAAGAAGTTCGACATAATGAATTCATCAATTCGTGAAATTCTTATGTGGGAATTTCCTCAAGTAGCTTACTTCGCTCCAAGTCCAAATCGCGATGAATCCGCAAAAAGATTGCTTCAAATGAAGAAAGTGATCAATTACGAAGTAGAAAAAGCAACTGGAAAACTTTATGTTCGAGTTGAGTCTGAGACCACACCAGAGCTCATTTACACAGCTTGTGTATATGGAAAGCCAACAGAAGTTAATTGTCAATGTCCCGACTTCCTCCAGAATGGAATCATGTGTAAGTATCTCCGTGCCGCAGCTTTCTATATTGACGAGCTTCGCAAACAATAGCAACATGCACATTTACCTCAGATGATTTTTGCAACTTGACAAGAAGCACGAAATATTCATCGCAACTTATGCATCAACCAATCAGCGACATCAGCAAGTTCGGAAAGCATCATAACGAATAATAATGACAACGACGATTATAATAATAATGATGATAGTAATAATAATAGTGAAGATAATCATGATAGTGAAGATAATCATGATAATGGAGATAATCATGATAGCGATAATAGTAACAACAATGAGGAAGATAATAAAAGCCTCACACCGACCTCATCCGGAGAAATTCTCAGTTATATGGAGTATACTCTTGGCATACCTAACACTTCGGCAGCAACGTTGTTAACTAGCACATCTGCACCGACGCGATCCTTGTCTAATACAGTCAATATTATCAATGCAAATAATAACACTACTCGTAAACAAGAGTTTGAAAACTTTCTAGAATCTACTGCAAGAAGTATGCAGACGCTGCGAGAGAACTTAGCAATCCTTTTAAACTTGCTTCAATCTAAACTGACACAAAAACAATTTGACGCTACGGATGATAATAATCAATACATCCTGGCAACTTATCTTCATGATATTGTCACTTCAAATGCATTCGAACAAAGTCAACGGCTGGTAAATATTATGTACGAGAACAAAAATCCTCACAAACGTACAACTTCCGTTAACGGTATTTTTCTGCTTGAGCAAGAAACTAAACAATGCCATCGGTATTCATCTTACGCAAGCTTATAGTGTAATGAAAATATTGAAGAGAACAGCTTTTGATGCTGAAATGAAAGAGCCGCAAGATTTCTAAATACCAGCAATGACCTACAAATAGAAATTGTAATGTTAATGATGATGATAATAACAATAACAATAACAATAATGTTAATTCTAATAATTTTAATAATAAAATAAATAATCTTAGTACACTTGAACAAGTTACCGCAACTGCTTTAGGAACTACCGCAGTCAAAGCCCAAAGCTCTTACAGACGATTGTATTGGAAGCAAAACAAGTGAATAATCCAAGTTTCAGTTTTCTAAATAAAGATGATCCATTGTATCCATATTACAAACACATTAGGTTGCTTTTGCAAACTGGATTATTCTTGCAGCTCGATTCAAAGCTTTGTAAAGATACTCGCAGTCAAGGACTGTGATTTCCTTGAAATCAGTAAAATGCTGGGATTTTTTAGTTGAGACAAATCACAGGTCTGGACCGTTAGCATCTCCACTTTTCATCTCTTGCTGCAGCTTGTGACTTCCTAGAAGAGGTTACGGTACACTCTAAACTCTCCCCCAAACACACACCCCCATATATATAAACTGAAGCATAGCAATCCGCGCAATATAACGCATAGTTACTCGATGCTGACAGAAGTAATGGAAGGAGTCAACCAACAAAGCGAAGAACATTAGAAGCTGTGACATTTCTAACGTTTTCCAGCTCGAATCTAGTAACTCTCGTGAAATTATCCCTCTCCGAAGCGAAATCCCCCCAACCCACAAAACTACTCATCCGACATAACCACACTATGGACAACAACGATCCAGAACAACTTGGAAGTTAGGTGTGAAAGCGATGTAACCGATCATGGTGATAAGTAACTGATGTAATAAAACTCATAATAAGCGCGACTCGAAGCTTTAAAAATTGATCCAAATTTGGGGAAATTCACGACAATAGCATAAATTATCCGTGGGGAAGAAATCTCTCTCACATCATCGCGGACTGCCCAGAAGCCGTAACAGAATAGCCCAAGTGAGGATTTCAAAGTTACTTTATCACATACATATTGCGCATATTGCGACATTTTACGTCATACATGTGATAAATCATGTGAGTGTTTAGCACTACTCAGGGGTATTTTGTGGCTTGTGGCTTGTATTGCCAAATTAGGGTAACTAATCCAAATTAGGAAATTTGAAATTTGGGTTGGTAAAACTGGTCAAATTTGTATGCAGACATCTAATAGCGTCACCCGACCAATGAGGTGGCGCAAATTTTTGATCTGCCGGCAAAACAAATCCGACACAAGAAGATGTCGGGGGTAGTTTTATTTATAATTGTGTTTCCCGGAAAATCTATCCGGCTACCGTTTTTTCGGGGTGACGCTAGGTTTGTTCATTAATATGATTAATTGATTAAGTTCATCTTTTACCTCTTAGCAAAAAAAAATAAATCATGTTGTCTTTTGCTAAAATCCCCAAAATAAACAGCGAGCTTGCAGTTGAAACTACAAATGTGCAGTCAAGCAAATATGATGGCCTGGTTTTAATTTATTCGAATTTCGAAAGTTTAAAACCTTCCAACCTCTCGGCTCCTTTCGCAGAAACTATAAAATCCTATGCCTCTATTGATGATAAATTTGGTCAAGAAGTTGCTTTGATAGCTGATTCTACTGCAGTGGGTGGAAGGCTGGTTTTAACACCGACTGGAAGCTTATATGATGATGTAGACGATGTTAGAAGATTTGCAGGTACAGTGCAAGATAATGGGTGTAATTCTGATTTACTTTCAGAATCTCAAATTCCTATCCGTGATTGTTAAAAGTCTTCCCAATACAAATCTAAGCAATAAAGAGTTTAATTATTAAAACCGAAACATTTTTTTTGAAATAATGATAATAAACTGTCATGTAAAAGTTAGCATTCTTTGAATGTATTTTTTCACTATTTTCCTATAGTATTAGACGCATGTATCTATAATTAAAGAAAATTACATGTCATTTTTTGTTATAGAACATTAATTAAAAAGTTCAGATTATAATTGATGATTTTTCTTTATTCTTAATGATTATGGATTTGATTCCATTCTAATATTTATTTAGATGCTGCCCAAAAAGCAACAGTTCGGGCAATTGAAGCAGGCATACGCAAACCTCTTTATTATTTTGCTGATAAGCCTAATAGCGAAGATTATGTAAACTTTGTTCAAGTGAGTCTTTTGGGAATTTTGGATGCTGCTTTTGAACAGATAACTTTCCGAGAACATCGACCCAAGACATGGAGTAAAATCGACGAGATAGGCATTGTACTCGAAGGCCTTGTGGAACCCGAGAATATTAGTAAGATTTTAGAGCAAGTAGAAGCCATTGAAGCGGGTAAAAGAATCGCAAAGGGTAAGATTATTACTGCATTATTTGTGAGAGAGAAGAGAAAGATATATAATCTATAAACTGGAATTTCCTTGACAGATCTTGGATCTCCCGATCCAGAACGAATGACTCCTTCGAATTTTACTAATTACATAAGGGAAGTCTTTGAAACTTCCGAAAATATTGAATTAACAGTCATTGAGGATATTGTTACAATTGAAGAAGAATATCCTCTTTTACATGCAGTGACTAGAGCATCTCTTGCTGGTATGTACTGATCATTAACGATATAGATTTTATCCATTTGATTAATATTTGATTTTAATTTTCTATCTAGTAAAAAGGCATCATCCTAGAATAGTGAAAATTGAATATAAATCACCTGATCAATCCCAAGTGAAAGAAAAGTAAGCGACTATTAACATACGTGATATTTATTATGAAATAATACATCTACTAACAAAATCCCAATCTATGATATTGTAGTTTATTCTTTGTTGGCAAAGGTGTTACATACGATACTGGGGGTGCTGATATTAAAGCTGGTGGTCGCATGCGCGGTTCGAACTTGCATTTCAAAATATTATGTATTCAACATCAACCCATTAGACATTTTAACCTCAACAAAGTTATCTTTAGGAATGTCAAGAGACAAATGTGGTGCTGCGACGGTCGCTGGGTTCTTGAAAACTGTATCCAAGTTACAACCTGTGCATGTTAATGTGACGGCAGCTTTGGCTTTAGTAAGGAATAGTGTGGGTTCTGGCTCATACGTAAGTGATGAGGTTATATATTCGAGGGCTCGTGTACGAGGTGTGTATTGTTATTTTTGTATGTCTTGCATTTTTTATTGTAATAATTAATTAAATTATTTTTGTATAATAAAGTTCTTGTTAATAATACCGACGCCGAAGGCCGTATGATAATGACAGATTTATTATCAGAATTCAAAGATCTGGCATTGAAAAATACAGCAATACCATCAAGACTTTTTACAGTTGCCACTTTAACTGGACATGCTTGTCTTTCGCATGGATACTACGGAGCAGTAATCGACAATGGGCCAGCACGTAAAGCAGGTATAAGTCAACGCATTATTCAAGCAGGCCATATTTGGGGTGATCCATTTGAATTATCCATGTTACGTCGTGAAGATTATGAATTAATTACGCCTAGTAGCAATCGTGAGGATGTGATACAATCAAGTCTTAAACCTTCGATAAAAACCTTTCGAGGACATCAATATCCCGCTGCCTTTATGATCGTTGCTTCAGGTTTGAAAGATCATGGGTTAAAAGCTCTCAAAGAAAAACAAATTAGTTATAGTCATTTGGATATTGCGGGTAATGCTGAAGCGCCTGCCAAAGGTTTGAGTCTTCCTGAAGTAACGGGAAATCCTGTAGCAGCTTTAGCCGGAGCTTTTTTGTAAATTAGTTCATTATATTTGTTTATATCTGTAAATTCACGTGAAATAGAAAATAAAATTTATATACGTTCATTTGTTTATTGAAGTTTACTATAAATTATTGCAAGATGCAACAACCACCTATTCAGCAACAGCAACAACAAACCAGTTCACCTACAGAATTCTTGAATAATGTAATTGGAAGACCAGTACTTGTGAAATTGAATTCTGGTGTTGACTACCGAGGTCAGAACAAATAACAAGCCATGTATGAATTACAGAAAACCAAGAAAATTATAGGTTTACTATTCATTAACACACGAGTTTCTGTATTTTTTGTCTTTTTCTATACATATGAAATTAGCCACGAGAAAAGAATTTATTTCTATTGATAAAATAATTGTCTTTTTTTTAGGTATTCTTTCTTGTCTCGATGGGTATATGAACATTGCATTAGAACAGACTGAAGAATACGTCAATGGACAGCTCAAAAATAGATATGGGGATGCCTTTATTCGAGGGAATAATGGTAACATTAGTTTTTTTAACTTTGTCGCGTAATATGTAACGTATATTAATTTTTTCTTAAATTTTAGTTTTATACATCAGCGCGACTAAACTTCGAGAATAGGTTGTTGCTGGGAGTAATTCAGATAAATTATGAATAAACCGACTAGTATATGAATATACAATGTTAAAATACATATAATTATATACTATAAAATAAATAATACAACACATTTACTAAACCAACCCGTATATACCTATACATATTATGTGGTAAAATTAAATACAACCATTTATCTCTAGCCGTATTATGGTTGCATTACTGTTTTATTTGCCGTATTAATTGGGTGGCCGTATTAATTGGGTGGCTGCATTAGTAGTCGTATTTAATTTTACCACATTATTCTAATAAAGTCACTTTTTTATAGTTCTTACGCTGCGTCAATGGCCAATCAAAGGTAGCTAATGAAGAAGTGTTCCGACAGTGCTGCCATGACTCATTGAATTTGAGTTTGCTGAATGCCGCGTCATTATAAAGATTTCGATTAATTCCACGAACCTTGAGCTTACGAAGATTCGGATGTTCATGGTGCAAAACCTCAAAAAATTCCGAGTCGATTTTTCTTCCGTCGTTGATTGAAAGTTTGTCCCAAGACTGACAACCGGGTGGTCTTCTCACCAATGCTAGCCACCCGTCTCTGGTAATATTTGGCAAACGATCACGTATACAAAATCTCATCAGAGTATCCATAGAAGCAAAAATCTGAAGGCCTTTATCGGTAATTGTGGGAGTTTTCACTAAATCAATTTGCTTCACTCGTGAATTATTCACGATATTGCTAACTATTTCGTCATTCAAGTCACCGTATTCTCCAAGAGAAAAATGCTATAATAATTATTTGAAAAAATTAATTTTTTTTTTACTTAGCAGAGTATAGAAGTTTTTTGCTGACTTACCTCGAGATTCGGTAGCATACTCAAAAACTTGAAATCACAATGACCTTCGATTTTTAGAATTGACAAAGAGATAAGACTGTTCATGCGACCAAAGTTTTTCAAATCATCACCGTGAATTGTTGATGAAAGATAAACTGTACGTAAGGAAGTGGAATCTGGAAGGACACTAGCAGCATCACTTGCAACCGCGATATCTAAAAATGACAGTTTAGGAGTAGCTTGGATAAGTTCGAGTAAAGCTTCCTTTGAAACTGGCTCACATTCGAACGATGCCAAATTAAAGGATCTCAGATTAGAGGAATAATTTGCGAATGACTTTGCAATGAGCGATGCATTAAGTTCAGGAACGATGGAACCGTTAATAGAGATCTCAATATTTTCAAGAGAGCTGCCAGCATTTTTTGCGAGACTTTCCCACATACTATTGGGAATTTTAGGATAAGTAAGTGTGATATGCCTAAGTTTGTGAGCTATTTCACAGAGCGCGTCGTAATTTTCATCTTTACTAGCATCATCTTCTGCATAATCTAGCCATTGATTCATCAATTGAAGAAATCCAGTAGCGGATACTGGGCGAACTTCTAAATGTTCATAACCAACAATATTTAATTTATTAAGTCGATTCGCAAGCAATGATAATGGTAATCTCCACATTCGATTATTTCGCACTTTTGAACTGAAGCGAAGTGCAAGTTCGATAAGGTTTGGGCAAAACTCCGCAATAAATGAAATCACTTCAGCGTCAATGCAAATGGGTGGATTTACATCATGCTCATTGAGTTGAAGATTTTTGACGTATTCACCATACGGGTGCAAAGCTTTTTCAGAGTGAGACTCTTGAACTGTTGTCTCGAATTGCTTGTATTCAGTTCCCTTATTGAGACGCCGGGTTCGCCATAAGTATGGCAAGGTTAAAGAAGCCCATTGACGACAGGTTAGCGCCAAATGAAGCAAGTCTTTCTTTTCAAAACATGCTACTGCTAATACTGACAACAAAAGTTCTTGTGGAATTTCGAGTAAATGCATTTGAAAATTTCCTTTCAACGAAAAGTTGTGGACCAGGTTATATAGCTATGAATGGATTTACGCAAAATGTCACATAATTGATTTTGTCATACTATTTAGCATCTCCGAATAAAAAGCGCTAGAAAATTACACAAAAAAT